CTGTCTTTAAACAGAGAGTTTTTGCAGATAAAGGAGTGAAAGGAAGAAAAAAGAGCTGTAGGTGGGAAATTAAACATGCAGAAACACCTAAACGGCCTCCAAAGATTTATTACTAATGGGATCTGCTCTTATCAGCCAGTCTTGATTTCAGATGCATCTCGCACAAAGCTGTTCTGCTGGGCTGGTTTCCTCGCAGGTGCCAGCAGATACTTCTGCTTTTGCTTTTCAAGAGCAAAACAGCCTCTGGTTAGACCCATCTGGTGGACTGCTGCTGCAGCTTGCCTTGACACAAGGCTTCTCTAACATCATCAGCTACTTTCTCTGCCCTGGCAAATATCCCCCATTGAGGGATGGGTCCTGGCAGTGGATCCTCACTGTGAATTTGGTGTCCTATGGCAATACCTTTGTCATAGGAAAGGCATCAAAGAGGCAGCTGAGCTGAGGTCTGACCTGGCTGCATGCAGGTTTCTGCATTTCCTTGATGGGTTCCTGCCTGCTTCTGTGTGAGGAAGATCTTTGTTCGTCAGTGAAGAATTAGCCCATTGTTGTGGTTCATTGTCTCACCCTGCTCCAGTTAGACCTGCAGACCCATCAGCCCTCCCTGTTCCCTACTCGGAAAGATGGGTGCTGCCCATATACAACACTTTCAAAGCCATGTTGGTGCAGAAGCACACAGAACAAAGGGAATGCTGAGTTTAGCTCACCGCAGTTTGTGACTCACTGCCTCTTGTTCACATACTCCTGGAAAGACGCATTTCAAATGTCCCCACTTGCTTAGTATGGACACAGGAATATCTGTCTAGGAAGTCATAGTGAAAACAAGCATTGAGCTCTGCATCCATAACATTGGAATTTAGGGTTTTCTCATGTATCCTATTGGCAATGGCCACGTGCCACAAAGTGGTGTTTCCATAAGCGCCATCAAGCAGAAAACCAAGCCCCAAAGGAAGTGTCACTGGTCCTTTCGGGTTGTACTCAACTCTCTGAGGTCATCTACTCGGGTTGAATGGGGAGTGTTAAGGGGTAAGGCTGCATCACAAAGGGAAAGAGTAAGCCCAGAGCAGGCATATGGTGCCTTCTGACTTGCTCCATTGCATCCACGAGCTAGCTCTTGGTCTAGCAGGAGGTCTGACTCGGAGAGAGTCGCCTGCACAAAAAGCTTTTGACTTCACTTCTTAAGCACCCCAAATTTGCATCTAGCCCATGGCTCGTTCAGCATGAGCTCGTTTTCACACTGTCGATTCTCTAGTGTTAACAGCTACTTTAGGCTTGAGTAGCCTGCAGAGCATGTCTCTAACTCAGCCGTCCCTGCCAAGGAGTGAGAAAACAATTACCTCTGGTCCTCACCCTCTGTTGGCTCCTCCAACCACATCAACCAACTAAGATCTAAGATCATTATGACATCAAGTGCATCCTTCCCTCCTGTTCCTTGCTACACTGACTGTTTTCCTTTGTGCTCTCAGGACAGCATCTTGCTCTGCAGGAAAGGGGCTGCAAGTGCAGCAGGTTTTCCCAGAGGGTTACGAAACAACCCTGAAATTCCTGCTGGATTGACATGCCAAGGTCATGAGAATGAATGAAGACGGGCTGTTTGAATCCAAGTCACCTCGTGTAATCTTAGAGGCGTAAATCAAATGTTGTCGCTCTGGGCTTCGTGTTTGCACTGCCAGCGCGTTTGGTTTGGACAAAGAGGAAGAAAGCTGCGAGGGATGGCAAAGGCTGCGGATGGAAATGGAACGGCGACTCCAAGGAAAGGGAACACAGGCTTCGTGCGTCTGCCAGTGTGCCCGGGACACGAGGCGATGCGCTGGAGCTGCGGGATGGCAACGGGGCGTCGCCTGGAAACGGACAATGGACTCGGCCAATGGGCATCGAGGAGCAGCGGGCTGTGGCCAATAAATAGCGGGCAGGGGGCAGGGTGGTCTCAGTCACTGCTGCAGGTGCGGAGGGGCAGGAGGAAGGCCGCCGGCTGCCCGCTGTCTCTACTGCCCCCAGGTCAGACTCCCGTTGTGGAACACCGCAGCAGCGATGGCAACGCTCAGCCTATTTCAGCTGCTGGACGCTGCCATCAGCACCTCCAACGGGGGACGCGTGAATATCATGCAGCTGCGAATCCTACTGCGGGCTGTGCTGGAGCTCACGGGCCTTGGGGACCTGCCTGTCCCAGACTGGGGGCAGGCTGCCCAGGGGGTCAGGGCCCAGGCCCGGCATGTGAGGCAGCAGCGCCTGGAGCCAGGCGGGTGGCAGCCCAGGACAGCCCTGCTGCAGGGCACCGCTGGCAACTCCCGACTTTACACCAGGGCTGCCGGTGTGGGGCAGCTGGAGGAGATGGAAGACGTGGACAGCAGCAGCTCTGAGGTAGGGGCTCTCCCAAGTCCCATGGGCTCCACAGCCCTGGAGCTCTGGCCCCACCATCCTCTCCATCCCTGTCTTCCCCACTCCTGACACATGGGTGGGAGCCGTGTCCACTCCTCAGGCACCTGAGAGGCACCGTCAGCACCTCATGGGCCTCATCTCCACCCCCAGTCTCCTTGGCTCGCCCCAGGGCTAAACCCGGCACTGCAGGGTACTGGAGAGGGGCCTCACCCTGCACGGCACTGAGCTGCTCAGGCACAGGCTTTTCCCGGGTGTCCCAAGGGGCAGGGCCGGGGACCCAGATCCTGGTCTGCAGGGGCCCTCCCCTGGGGCTCAACCCCCGCCGCCCTCCTCTCCTAGGACATGGCTCTGTCCCAGCCTCTCCCGGAGGGGATCGGTGGCATGAACGAGGCAGTCGGGAAGGGGCTTGGCTTGCTGAGCTGCTGCTGGGGTCCCTGTGCCCATCGCCCCCTCCCTGCGTAACCCTGTGTCCATCACCCTGGGTGCCACCCAGCGAGGGAGGAGTGGGAAGGGGGCTCTGAGCGGGCAGTGTGAAAGTGTGTGAGTTCAGCCCGGGGCGGCTGGGGACAGAGCTGGGGACCGTGCGGGGAGCCCTGGCTCTGCCCTTGCTGCTGCACTTCTGTCCACAAACCTGCTCCCCTTTGCCGCCTCTTCCCAGGAGGACTACAGAGCCCGGTCTGCCCTCACCAAGTCCTCCACTTTGGACATGGACACCCTGCACAGGGCAAGCTCAGCGCTGCGTCCCAAGGAACCAGGGACAGAGCGTGCAGCCCCTACTGCTCAGAGCACCAGCTCAACCAGCAGGTCTGCAAGTCGCAGTGTTCCGCCCAACATCTCATGGAGATGGGCTGGAGCTGCTGACCGTGAGGACAGGGCTGTATGGAGAAAGCCTTCTCTTGCTGCCACCCCTGCCTGGAGATCAAAGAAAGAAGTTGGAGCTGCTGTCGCCGCGGCCAAGGCTCCACGGAGAAAGTCTTGTCTTGTTTCCAGCAAGACCCGCAGCCCAGGGATGCGTTCCAGAAAAAGGGTTTCCTGGGCAGACCTCCAGGGAGCAGGGACGCAGCCAATAGCCCCTAGCTCCAGTGTGCATCCCAGGGCCATGGGCCAGCTGCAAGAGGCGTGTGGATCGTCAGAATCCTCCGGCTCCAGCAGTTCCTCCACCTCCTCGATGATGGAGGCTGAGTTCAAGACTCTTCACAGCCTCTATGATCAGCTAAAGAAGCAGGCGGCGCAGCTGCAAGCCACCAAGTCGGACCGCGCTGAGCTGGAGATGCTGCGGTCCGAGCTGCTGCACCAGCAGGAGGAAGGTGGGAGCTGTGAGGTCTGGTGGGATGTTTGAGAGCCTGGGTCGGGGGCTCGTTGCCCTCAGAGCCTGGCCTTGAAGGTGAGACCCCCTCACTGACAGTGTGTCCCCTTGGCCCATGTTCTTGCAGGCCAGGAGAGCATCGCCATCAAGCTTGAGGAGCTCCGTGGCCAGGCGTCCTCCCTGCAGGGCCTGGCAAGTGACTTAAAGCAGAAGGTGTGGAAGGTGAGCCGGTGGCAGTCCCCAGGGGGCACGTGGGGATGCTTGGGGGTTTGGGCAGGGAGGGGCAGAAGAAGAGCCCCTGGTCTGGGAAGACACTGGCACCATGCCCTGACTCTGCCCCACCACTGCTCCCAGCTCACGTCCGCGCTTCAGAAGCTGAAGCAGGAGCTGATGGAGATGGTGGCATGGGGGGCTTCGGAAGAGGCTGCTGGGACCTCCCCTGCCCCGCAGCTGGTTGTGCTTCTGTGAAATGTGGGGAGAGCCCCTTGCTCCTCCCCCCAGATAGGGTTGTACGAGTCAGCAGCATGGAGGGAAATTGCAGCTGTGCTGCAGATGTCCTGCTGGCACTGAGAGCCCGTGGTCACTTGCCCATTAAGCCGGGTCTGTTCCCAAGGGACAGGCACCCCCCCCTTGCATGGCACTACCCTGTCGTCTTCCTCCCTGCATCAGGACCAGGAGGTGCTGAGCCGCTTGAAGGCCCAGGAGCAGGAGCTGCAGCAAGTCCGTCATCAGCTGCGGGAAGAGATGGCCTCCAAGGTGAGGGGTGGCCCAACCCCCCCGAGCCAAACTGGCACCTCTGGGGCTTGGTGGCCCAAGGCTGTATCCCTCTGAGGATTCCTGCTCCTGGCTTTTCTCTGGGCGCCGCAGTGCCCCAAGCTGGGGCCGCTGGCTGAGGGGAGTGTGTGTGCCTGCAGCTGGACCGCAAGGAGCTGGGGCCTTTCCAGCAGCAGCTGGAGGAGCAGTGGAAGAGAAGTCTGGAGCAGGTCACGGAGAAGGCACCGCCGAGAGAGGCTAACAATGCGGCTGGCATTAAGACGTGAGTGTGATGGGGACAGTGGTGGCTTCAGAGACAGCACTCGCCCCGTTGCCACTTTGGCCGTGCCAGCACCCCCGGTTCCTATGGTGCTCTGAGTGCCCATGGCAGTAGTTCGCACTGATGGTGGTGGTTTTTGGAGCCAACCTCCAACTGCTCTCCCTCATCCTCCCGCCATTCTTCTGTAAGCAGCCAGGGGGTTGGGACCTTGCTTGGGTGCTAGGCTACAAACCGGGCTGAAACCCACGTTTCCCAGCTCACCCAGCCCTTTCCTCCCCTGCCCAGGCAGCCTTCCAATGCCGATTCCCGGTGCCTGTCCTGTGACCGGCAGCTCAACGTGAGGGTGCCTGCCTCGTAAGTAGCACCTGTCCCTGGAGCATCGAGGGGCTGCACGGGTGGCACGGGAGGAGACGGATGCTGAGAGCTCCGCCTGACAGGCACAGGGTTCTGGGAGTCAGTCTGGGGGGGTTGACCCTGCTGAGACCCCTCTAATGCTCTGCCCACGAGTGGGGGGATGGGGACCCTTCCCTGAGGGCAGTGGGCAGGGGGATGCCATAGGGTGAAAGCCCGTGGATTTTGGGGCACTGCCTTGAGGCGGGCTGGATCATTTGTCCCCTGTCACCCACCGGTGGCTCTTGGTTTCCACAGGCCCGTCAAGCCCATCCCACCCGCGCCACGGCTGACCTCCCGCGTCACTGAGAAAATTCCTCGTTCCCTCAAACCAGGGGAAAGCAAGAGGTAGGGGACTTGGGACCCATCCCCTGCCAGGGTGCAGGGTGGCCCTGCCCTGGCGGGAGAGCTCTTCCCTGGGTGGGGATAGAAGGCTCTGTGGGTGCCTGGGCAGGCTGCCCACATACGCCCTGTCCCCCACCCTGGCAGACCACAGTGCTGGGTGCTGAGTCCCCCTATTTCCCATCCTGCAGGGAGCAGGCGGCTCGCTGCTGGAACCCCAGCGTGCCGTGGCAGTGCGGGGACCAGAACACTGCTCCCCAGCCTGTCTCACCCAGCACCCCACGGACTCTCAGGCCGTCCGCTGTGCTCCACAGGAAGGTAGGGATGAAGAAGGAAGGGATCTGGAGGGGGCAAATGAGGCTGGGAGTGTGATGCTGAGTATTTGGGATGGGGGGATTCGTGCCTCAGTTTCCCCAGGAGGGCTGCGTGTGGAGGGTTGCTTGGGAATGATCAATACTGCCCCGTGCTTTAGCCAGACCCCTCTCTCCTTCCCAGCAGGATGGTGACAATGCAACCGAGCTGCTGGGCAACACCAGCCGCCGGCAGGACAAGCAGCAGCCTGTGCTCAAGGGCAAGGAGGGTACAGGCAGGAGGAACCCGACCCAGGGCAGCCTTCCCCAGGCACCGCGGCTCGTCCAGCCCCTCCTGCCCCCTTCCGTCAAACTCAAACCCCAGGAGCCACGCACGACTGGGCGTCCCCCGCTGAAGCCCTAGCACCCTGTGGGCCCAGCAGCCAATAAATAATTCCTCATGTTCACCCAAGCACCTGTGTGGGCTGAGTGTGGAACCCTGGCTCGGAAACTCCCCATCACACACAAGGAGGGCTCGGCAGCATCCCTGGCCTGTGGCCACGTGTCACTGCAGGAGCAGCCCCTGGCCACCCCACATACAAGCACCTGTGCCCACCAAGCTGCTGCGCTCCACTGGCACTCTCTGGCCTGGAAAAGCCCTGTTTGGGAGCCTGCGTCCCCAGAGTCTCCTGCATGACCCAGGGAACTACAGAGCAGTCAGTCTCACTTGTGTGCCTGGCAAAATCTTGGAGAAAATTCTCCTGGAAGGCATGCTAAGGCACATGAAAAACACCAAGGGGAAATGTAAGCGGCGAGGAGAAGCAGACAGGCCAACCCAATATGGGTGATAAGCAACTTCTCCTTTATTTGTGACACAGTTCACACATATATAGGAGTGGTATTCAGCCACTCCTTCTTGGCACAACAGTATTGGTTAGCCCCCACACAGCTTCCTCCACATTCTCCTCCCAGGTCCGGTCTCTGGCCACCTGTGGGGGCCACCCCCTGCCTTGCTTGCACAGTCCTCCAGAACTCTATGGTCCTGCTCTTAGAGTCATTCTGCAACAATTCCCCCCTTTTTCTTTGTGCAAGCAAGGCACTATGGGTTATTCTGTTCACCTGTTTTATCACACAACTATAAACATGTCTAATAGCTACGATGATTAACCCAATCAATGATACATAAGTGCAATACTTTTAAACAGTGTTTGACTCAACCTGTAATGCCGCGTGAAGACAACCATCTAGTTATTCTTAGGATATTGCTCATTTACTATTGCTGGGTAAGCTGAGCCAGGGTTCTCAGCTGTGCGTGCATCGAATTAGCATAATCAGAGACTCATACAACACATTCCAACAAACTTTTCACATCCATGTCCCTGTTCCAACAACAAAAGCTTCTGCAGTGTTGCATGTCTTACAGAGTCAACATTAAAACAAATCATAAATTGCCTTTGATGTAGGATTTGCTTAGCAACTCAGCAACCCAGTCTGCTTAGTTGAGCCAAGGCCCGGCTGAAGCACTTACAGTGATTTGGCATATTATGATTGGATACATGTTTTGAAGACCCTTAGTGACTAACATATAATTGGTTAAACACAGGTGTGAGAACTCAACCTTGAAAGCTTGCCAACAGTCCACAGTTCTCATTAACTTGGTGAATTCCAGCCTCTTATCTTGCTTGCTTAAGCTTCTTCAGGCCTCTCATGGCCTTGCTGTATCTTTCAGGACTATTCAAAGTTTATGTACCAGTTATGCATTCTCCCGTGAGAACACTGTCTCCGCATCTTCCCCCTTTATGTTCTATATATGGTTTGGGTGACCCTACTTGAGCAGGGGATCTGGGCTAGATTATGTCTCCAACATATGCCAACCAGAGACTGCCTGGTCCTGCCCTTTTTTTCTGCTGTATGGCTCTCCGGTAACAGGCTGTATAGCTCTCTGTTCCTTCACATCAAGGTCTGGCATGACGTGTGTCCCCACCGCTCCACGCCTGCTGGGTTGCAGCCAGCAGCGGAGCTAAAGGTTCTTCTTGGTGGCAAACACAGAAGCCAACCCAGTCTTGCCCTTGATTGTGGTGGCAGGCATTTGGTCAGCCTCAGTCCTTGCACCTTGCTGTCAAGGCACACTTTCACCTGCTTTATCCAGTGACAAGTCGCTACTACAGCAAGGCACACACACATTTACATTAGCAGAGTAACTATTACAGGGTGCAGCAGCAGTTGAAGATGCTGATGACAGCGAGGGACCACCCAAAGAAATTTCTTACCAGTGGAATTCTCCCCCCTCTTAATTTGTTCCATCACCTGCTTTATAACACTACCATTGTATTAAAATTTTTCTAGCTTTTGCCTTAGCATTTTCTAGCAGCTACTGCAAATTTCCATACTCTAACAACTCTTTTACAAGTGACCAATCTATACAATACAAGGTGCAGTTTCTTACTAGCAACTAGCTAGTAAATACAGGTGGTTTTATACACAAAATCACAACCTCTAATAATAGCTACTTTACAAGCACACATATTCAGGATGTTACTTTTCAGTTGCCCCCAAGTGATGTTTTGCAGTTATTTGTTCTTTCTCTTCCTCTATCTCATTCTGCTTGGGGTAATCAGGGTCAGCTCCTGTAGCTGAGGCATCAGGTTTTTCCATTCGTCTGTCCAGCTCATGGGAAGGCTTGACAAACTTTGCAGGCATTCACCATGGACCTGTAGGCAGGAGGACACAAATATACCCCCTCCCCCAGGTTATCAGTTCTTCAGAAGTAGACAGGTTAGACAGGTTAAAGTTAAATGTAACATCATTACTCTCTCCCCCCCCCCCTTTTTTTTTCCCCACTACAGTCCCACGTGCAGAACGTGGCACAAGGACCCTGTGGAGACTAACAGCAAACCAGCTCCGAGAAGCATCACTGCAGTGCGAGGTGGCAGGCTCAACCTTAGCGGGCGTCCCCGCAGAGGCTCTGCCTCCCCCACATCGTATGAGGCTTGGGCTTTTATACTGACCAAAATGCACACTCATTCCGACACAGGTAGCCTGCCTGTGCTGGAAGAAGTGGCCAGCAGTATCTACAGAGGTCTCCAAGGGTTGATAGAAACCTGGACATACTTATATATACCAACTTCTAGTACATGAGTATCACAGAGAAACTGTATGGGCTCCCCCTGTCAATTGCAAGGAAAAAATCATAACGTATACAGCTTGAGTATAAGAGGATTTTAACGCATACGTGGTCACTGTTTGTCAGGCCTCCTTAACTATTTTGAGATCAAGAGCTTCCCACTCTTTAGCCCCCTGCTGTGTAGTAAACACAGGATATGCAAAGATGCCCATTGCAGAAAATTCCCCAGTGATGTTCGCATCTTTGGTTACCCATTGTTACAGCTGAGCGTCTCCAGGGCCAGTAAGTCTGAGCAGACCGACCCGGGAGATGAAGAGTCAGGGTCTGGAAGCAGAGGATATAGATCTGGCTCGGATTCAGGGGATTCGGGGGCTGATCCTGCGCTGAACTCGGGGTCTCCGCTGCTCGCAGCTGTGTCTTTCTTATCAGATGTCTCTCGTTCGGTATGTGGCCATCTGCAGACCTGGCTCCTCCGTGACTGAGTTAAATTTTTTTTCACTCTAGGGCATAGTGGGTTGGAAAGGCTCGCGGTTCCTTTAAATCTCCCGCTCGCGCATGATCCCTATTTTCTACTGCGGGCTTCACAGTGGCGCCGCAATCGATCCGGCGCCGAGGCACCGCCCTCTTTCTTTCGGATTCCTCGACTTTTATCATACGTATCCCTTCTAATATACTTTCTCTGTCCTTTTCAAAGTCCCTACTTTCGGAACTGGGGTGGTGGGGAAGCAGGGGGTTACACCTCCTCCGCGGCACCTTCTGATGGAGGGGGAGAAAAGGGGGGAAGAAAAGGGGGGGGGGGGGAACCCTGTGCTCGCGCGAGTTGGGGGAAACGAGTTGTAATCTTCCCCCGGTTTCAACCGACCGGGGACGTCTGTTCCTAGTTTCTCCGTTGCTACCGCGGCAGTTTTCTTTTCTGCCTTGTATCTTTTTATACAGTTCATTACTTCCCTCCGTGGTTTACCGAGTTTCTTTGCCTATTTATAATCATTAAGCACTGAGTCAAATAGTTCATCACCAAACTTTCGCCACTCACTCTCCTCAAATATTGTATAAGGATCTGCAAAAAAACTCCCTTAGCCTTCCCTACAGCCAGTAGACCTGCTAGCTGCTTTAGAGTCTCAGGCTCAATTCCCCGCTTTTATAAAAAGCACTGCAAAACGTTCAGGGCTCAGTTCCCCGCTTTTATAAAAAGCACTGTAATAAGTCCA